ACCCTCCTGATACCAACATAATGGAGTCCTACACCTCCTGCCATACAAAGCCTCAAAAGGTGCCATGCCAATACTCGAGTGATAACTGTTATTATAAGTGAACTCTACCAATGGTAACACCTCCTCCCAGCTACCCAAATGATCCAATACACAAACTCTCAAGAGATCCTCCAGTGACTGAACTGTACTCTCCGACTGGCCATCTGTCTATGGATGATAAACGGAGCTCAACCTCAACCTCGTCCCCAACGCCTGATGCAGATTCTGCCAACCTGGAAGTAAACCTTAAATCTCTGTCAAAAATAATACTAGAAGGTACTCCATGCAACCGTGATATCTCTATGATATACAACTGTGCAAGTCTCTCCAAGGACTACCTCTTGACAGGAAGAAAGTGCGCACACTTTGTCAACCTATCAATAATCACCCAGATAGAGTCACTGTTCCTAGCTGTATAGGCAACCCAACCACAAAGTCCATAGTGACACTATCACACTTCCACTCGGGAATCTCCATCAGCGCTAAGCTCAAAGCACTAAGCTCAAAACCAGCTGCCCTCTCAGTACCAAGCAATCCCAAAATCCTCAACAACTCTGGATCCTGTAATTGCTTAGTTCTCACCTGTCTCAAGAGCTCATTAGTTATGGTGATCATACCACAACTAATGTAATCTTGAACAACCTCCGCTTCTAGTCTCAAATCTCTAAACTGCTCAATCAGTTCCAACTCCCTAATCATCATAACTGACACATGAATAGATTTCCTACTCAATACATTTGCTACCACACTCGCCTTCCCAGGATGATACATCAACTGGAAATCAAAGTCCTTTAGGAATTCCATCCACTTTCTCTGCCTTATATTCAACTCCTTCTGATCAAACAGGTACTTTAAACTCTTGTGATCACTAAATACACTGAATCTCGCACCATATAGATAGTGCCTCCACGACTTCAAGGCAACACTACAGCTGCAAGCTCCAAATCATGAGTTGGATAATTCCTCTCATGAGTCTTAAGTTGCCTCGAAGCATACGCTACTACTCTCCCTTCCTGCATCAACACACAGCCTAACCCCTGGTGAGAAGCATCACAGAACACTTCAAAATACTCACCAGTGTCAGGTAACACCAAAATTGGAATAGTCAATCACTCCTTCAATTCCTGAAAACTCTTCTCAAAAGCGTCCATTCAAAGAAAAAGTTGATCCTTCCGAGTCAGTTAAGTCAAAGGCATTACTATTCGAGAGAAACCCTCTATGAATCTCTGATAGTAACCTGTTAACCCAATGAAACTCCTAATCTTTGTTCTGGGATTTATCTAGAACAGACCGTTCTCCATCCAGAACGGCCCGTACCCCCTCCGGAACGGCCGTACTCCCTCTGGAATGGCCCGTTTTGGGGTTTGGAACGACCCGTTCTCCCTCTAGAACGGCCCGTTCTCAACTACGTTTTATAGGTCAATTTAGTAGTTTGGAACGGCCCGTTCCAGATTGGGAACGGCCCGTTCTGGGCTACTAAATTACCCTTTTTTTTCCTGTGGGGTGATAATGTAGATCACAAGAGATATCATGCCATTGGGTGGCAAAAATTGTGTATACCAAAGAAACATGGGGGGCTTGGATTGAGACGGATGCGTGATGTCAATACATCGTTCATGATAAAAAAAATGTTGGAGTTTGATGACGAAGCCTCATAAACTATGGGTGAAGGTTGTTAGAGCTAATTATAAATTTTTAAATGACATTATCCTAAAGGTTGGGAAGAGACCCAACATGTCTAACTTATGACAAGGTATTTTTGATTCGTGGAATTTGGTGATTCCTCTGGTTCGAAGGAGAGTTGGTAATAGACGAAGGGTTAACTTTTGGTTTGATAATTGGTTAACTGGTATCTCTCCTCTTTTTCAAAAAGCTTAGGTGGATATTCCTCTAGCTATCTATTCAAATCAGTTAGGGAGTACACAAATGAGCAAAGGGAATGGGAGCTTTCACATGTTCAGTCATGGATCCCACATGAGTTATGGATAGCTATTTAGTTTCAATTATCTTTGCCATCAGATGATGCTAGAACGGATAGGGTGGTTTGGAATCAGACCTTGGATGGATAGTTTACAATCAAATCAGCTTATAGTGTTGTTGCAAATCCTGCCCTTCTTTATAGATCCCATCTATTCAAAACTATTTGGAAGTGGCAGGCCCTGAAAGGGTTCGTGCGTTCCTATGGAGAGTAGCACATGAAAGTTTATTGACAAACTCATGTCGTGCTCAATGTAGAATGACGATAAATCCATTGTGCAGTATCTACTTACAGGGTGCAGAAGATAGTCTACATGTGTTCAGGGAATGCAACTTTGCCTAGGAATTGTGGTCCAAGTCATGCAAAGATTCATCTTAGATGCTTGCGGATCAGGATAATTTGCAACCCTGGTTATTGAAGAATTTATCAAGATCTAGTCATTCCCCTCCCAAGTGGAACTATAGATTTTCTATTACATTGGATTCTTTGTGGCACCGTCGAAATAGAGTTATCTTTCAAGGCCAATCCATCACAGTTGATCAAGTAGTAGCTGAAATTAACGCTCGAATCATATATTCTACCACAGATGTTCTTAATCAACAATCACATGTTAGGATAGTTAATTACAACTCTCGGCTTAAATGGATAAGACCTCCAAAAGGTATCCTAAAATTAAATTGTGATGGGGTTGTGTCTTGTGAGAATGTGGCCTCATTGGGGGAGTGATCTGTGACTCAGATGGTAGGTTCATGGTGGCATTCACAGGGAAGTTAGTTATGTGCTCCATTCTTAAATCGAAGCTTTGGGCCATTTTACATGGCATGCACATTTTGGTTAATAGGAATTTGGGACAACAGGTGATAATTGAGTCGGATTCTTCCGTTGTAGTGAGGCTTGTTAATGAAGGTTGTTCTGCTTCTCACCGCTATTTTGATCTTGTTCAAGAGATAAGAGAGTTGAGTAATCAGTTATCCTTGTTTTCATGATACCATATTCTGAGAAAAGTTATTTTAGTTGCTAACCTTCTTGCTAAACGCATGATGTTTTTAGAGAATGACTTTTTTGTTTACGAGTCTCCCCCGTCTTTCATCTATCACTTGTTATTAGCAGATGATTATGTTTTTCTTTCAATTTAATGATTATTTGCTTGTGCTTTAACCCCCTCTTTTACCTCCCTCTCTCTCTCTCTCTCTCTCTCTCTATATATATATATATATATATATATAAATTGCGTAGAAAATAAAATTCTCTCTCATTAGACTATCTATTATCTACTACTATTATTGTTATCAATTATTACTAATGTAAAAGAAATAAATGTATTTTTTAAAATAAAATATTTGAGGTTGAGAGATTAATTAATAGAGGACAGATATCAATAGGAGAGTTTGGAAAACTTTTGAGTAATTGTAGAGATTAAAAAAAATTGTACAAGAAAACTACTCTATGAAATTAAAAAAGAAATAAAAGGGTACCAAATGCAAATAAGGATAAAATAATAAGATAAGGTTGTGATGAGATTAAATCTCTAAACCCTAATGTTATTTCAATTTGAATTTTTTAATTCATTATAATTTTTTTAATTTAATTTAGGTTAAATTATATTTTTAGTTATTCTATTTTATTAATTTACAATTTTGATCCTCTATTTTAAAATAATGACATTTAGTCTCTCTAATCTTAAAAATATAAAATTTTTAATTTTTTCATCAAATTGACATCTATTAATTGTTAATAAATATTCATCACTTGTTCAAATATAAAATAAACAAAAAATTTATGTTATTATTTTTTATTTTTATATATTATGTCACTAAATAGTATGCCATTAAAGTATTGAAAAGTCACAAAATAATAATAAAATTTAATAATCTATAAATATTAAATTAACGATAAGATCAAAATTTCATAATTTTAAAAGATTTAAATATATTTTCAATTTCTCAAATTTAAAATTGGTCTTTTTAGCTCTAAATTTCATAATACTCAAATTTTGCTAATAAATTTGTTAAATATTATCGTATAAAATTTACTTATTAATGTCCCTAATGGTGAAAATATTACATTAAATTTGGCTAATAGTACATAATTGTCTCGTTATTTTTAAATTATTATTGATAACTCAAGAGACTAAAATAAGATTTTTAAAAATTACACAAACTAAAAAAATAATTTTAAATTTAAGAGACAAAATTAAATTTATTTTAAATTTGAGAGACTAAAAATATATTTAAGTTATTTTAAAAATAAAAAAAATTAAATATCTTTATTTTAAAATAAATAGATCAAAATTATGAATTAATAAAAATAGAAATCAAAATACAATTTAACTTGACTAATATTATTGATTATTACAGTTTAAAACTTAAATAACATTTACGAATGCAATCTTTGAATCTTGCAAAATGCAAATTGTCAATTACAATTATATAAAAGTAAAACAAGGTAGTAAAATATTAGAGTATGAAGAAAGAATAAGAAAATCAAAATTACATCAATTCACTTTCACCACTTGAGACTTACATCTTATCTTAGCACCAATACTAAGATTTTCCACTAATACCCCATATTTCACAATCACACACTCGATCAATCCCATACCAATCAAGAAAGTTGCCTAAAGACTCATAGGATAACCTTTCTCTGTAAAACAATACAAATAAAAATCCCCTCAACCAAATCATGAGAATACCTATCTCAAACAACCACTTAATCACAAGATGTATATATCAATTGATGTGTGAAGATAATGCCATAACAAGTTTTATTCACTTAATTGACCAAAAGAGAAAACCTTACTGCTTATACATCACTCATTATACAACATTTTTACTTTTTATATTTTTTTTTCTAAATTTCTAACATTTTCCATATACAAACCAATCCACAAGAAGTATCTGCCAAACATTTTCCTTGTACAAAACGATGCACAAGGAAATCCTTTAAACTTGTTCAATGCAGCACCATAATAAGGAACACCCACTTCCGACACCAAAGATAAAAATAGGGAATTAATTCTTAAATATCCAGAGTACAAATTAATGAAATCAAACACCTACCCACCACATTTTTTACATTTCATTTTGTCCCCTTTGCTCTAAAACAACCACAACAGAATAAGCAAAGTACAACAAGCACATGCAAGATTTGGCCATGTTTAATTAATTTCACACGCCCAATCCAGCAGTGAACGTTACACCCGTAGAAGGTAACCAAAGATTCCCCTCAATAAATTGTGTCACCGTGAAATTACTAGCCTGGCTAGAATCATTCATCACATGGTACCCGGGCCATTTCACACGATCAGAAAGCCCAGCACCAGGCCCATAATTCATGTACTCTGCATAGTACAACGTGTCCAAGCCCAAGTCCCCATTCCACTCCAACCACCCTTCAGGCCTCAACACATCACTAATATAAGATTGCATGAAAATTGTTCTAGAATATGGCTTCCACGGTCTTCCAAGGTACGTGTGAGTGGAGTTAACCGATTTTACAAGGTCAGAATCAGCAGAAATGTTGCAAAATTGGATGGAGAAACCCGTTGGTTCCTCAGGGTCTTTTCTCCCGTGTGCTGTGATCGTGTTCTTCTGATTTGGTAACCCTTTTTTGGCCACTATGTGGCAGTTTTGGAAAAGTGCAGTGGCGTCACCGAAAATGAAATCCACGGTGCCACTGATTTTGCACTCTCTGTAGAATTGGCGCATGGTGTGAGTGTAGAGGCTGTCTTGGTAACCCGAAATCCCACATCGGTAGAACACAGAAAGGTCTGAGTCTGATCTTAGTGCTACCGCTTGGTGCTTCTCTGGGCCTGCGGTGTTCTGGAAGGTTATGTCTCGTGCTATGAATCCTCTGCCACTCACAGCTGCACATGAAACAACGTAATTATTACGTAAATTAATAAAACATGTTTTTTCCTTTTCTTTTTGAATTGGGTCAGAGATTTCGGCCGTTGAAGAAGACAAGTATTTTTGATGTTATCAATATAATAATTGCTGCACATGGTCATTTATTTTCATATCAGTGCTCTCAGTGGGTTGCATACATGCATTATGTTACGTGGGGAGTGGTAACATTTAAATAATAAGTGCTTCCTTGCCACAAATGTTAGTGACTATCAGTTCCCAGTTAACGTTGCTAGGCAATTGCATTTATTTCATCGCGTTGGGTTTCAACGACAGGAAATATAGAGAGAGAATGATGTATTTATTTATTTAATCCAAGTGAAAATAAAAGAATATATTTATCATTAAAATTTCAACACTTTTTTTCCTCTGTTTAGTGTTAGGTTTCACATTCAGCTTGTTTAAATTATGTGAGCATACATGTATCATGAGGGTAGCCGTAGACACTACCCAACCTCGGGCATAGACAAAACATCAGTCAACTTTATAGGTCTCCCTCACACATGTTCGACAAAAAATTTCACCAGATTATAGAAATCTGTCAATTTATTCATGGCAAGATTAATGAGTCATTATATTACATTGTTAAAATATTCATCACATATTAATCATCCAAATAAATACATCATCTAAACAGTTTCATAACATATTTTTTATATTACTTAGTTTTTTATAAAGACAAGTTTAATTAGTATTTTATTTTTATTATCAAAATCAACTTTTACGTAAATATATATAATAAAAAAATCAAACTTAAGAAAAACTAAGAAAGATCCCTAAGGTGGTGTCATTTCAGGAATTAAATTGACCGATTTCAAGTTTATAGCGAATGTATTAAAAAAATGGTAATATTTTAATATTCTAAATCTATATAAATTTTGATTAATATTTTAATTTATCATTATCAGTAATTAAGAATCACTTATTATTTTTAGTTGTAATAGTACTACACTAGTAGTACACTTCAATATGACATGACAAGTTGACAACAGAAAAACCGGGCCCAAAATCAAACCAACATCAAGAAGAAGAAAAGAAAAGAAAAAGTGTACAGAGAGTAGCGTTCTTACCAAAGGTAGCTGAGCGGAACGTGGTCCAACCGTCGACGAAGCTCCGGTTACCGGAAACAACGGTTGCATCCATGCCATCACCGAGCATCATGAGGTTCCACTTCTTCTTCTTGATCTCCACGTTCTCATGGTAAACCCCCTTCTTCACGTATATGACAAAGCGCCTCATGCTGTAGTTAGGCGCGGCCAGCACCGCATCCTTGATCTTGGTGAAGTTACCGGTCCCGTCGGTAGCCACCACCGCATCGGCGTGGACCCCATTCGCCTGAAGCAGCTTCCTGTCCCCTGGTTTAACCCACGTGGGGAATTGGCCCTGCGTGGAAGAGAAATCCGAAACAGGGTTCACCTGTGTTAGGAGTTGTTGGAGCAGGGTCATCACTTGGCCCAGCCCACTGGACACTAAGCCCTTCACCATGCCGTTCGTGCCTTCCAACCCATCCATGCACGTGTCTTGGTTCGCAAGCGCCGCACTTAGCCATGTCCTTAAATCCGAACTCAGGTTCCCTGTGCTGTTATGTTTCCCTGCAACCATATATTATAATTTCTAATATATTTTTTTATCATACGCATGTAAAATCCCACATCATTCAAATAAGAGATGAACATGAATTTATATACACATAATTATTTTTATTAATAAAAAAACTGCTATCCAAAAATAAAATCTTTATACAATTTTAAATATGGGTTAGTACTTAGTAATTTGACGTTTATATGACTAATATATTTAATGTAAAATACTATAAAACGGTAGTACCTTTGGGAGTCTGTGTAGCGGAGACAGACCAATCGAGTTCATCGGAGGACAAGTCGAGCAAATCGAGACAATCCGAAACGGCGTTAGAAAGACGCGAATCGCCGAAGGCAGAGCCGAACTCGGAGAGAATAGAGGTAACATCTTGCAACACATCAACGACGGTTCTCACTGTACCTGCGAACTCCGAGGGTGAAACCTTAAGCAGCTCGAATCCCGCGGTGTTAGTCTCACCCAGTGGGGTACACAGGGTGGGTGACAGCACAAGCAAAAACATGAGTGTGATAGTGGGTGTTGCTTTCGTTGAAGACAGAGCCATTGGAAGAACTCAACGGGGTTACACGTACGTACGCTGAGGGAACTTGCGTTTTTGAAGAGAGGGATGAGGGGAATAAATAAATAAATTGTTGAACGTAATGGTTAGCTTGGCAGGTGAGGGAATTTAAGGCAAATTAACGAGTATGGTGCAGGTGTGGAAAAGTACCCGAAAAAACACCCCTCTCCACAAAATACTACTCATACTTTTGTTTCATTTATGAAATGTGGGTATGTGTGAAATTTATGATGCCGCGGTTTCTTTGAATATGATTTTATCCGAATTTAAGAGGGTTGCGAGGTGAGCCTTGTGAGTTGAGAGTCAACCTTGGTTTCATAAGTGATGATGTAATAAGGTGGTAAAAGGGAGGGATTACACAACACAGAAGAGAGAACGATGGGAGTGTTTAATTTGTGGCAGTGTCGGCGGTGACTATGCAAGTGACAAACACTAACCATATACGTACTCTCTTTATCACAAACTTTTTTTTTTTTTATTAAATGAATTTTGTGTAGATTGTATTTTCTCCTCTTTCCTTTTTTGTTGCTACGAAGCCGACCATAAAAGTAAATCAGATTTTTTGATACATCAACAATTTACTAATTTAATTTAGTAAATACGTAAGTGTATAAAAAAACAATTAGACTTACTTTAATTTTAATTCATAAAAGAGTTAATTTGATGAAAAATACAGTACTAGCCACGGTGTTGTCAATACTTTTGTATACAATTAGCAATCAATGTGCATGTCACTCTCTGATGTAAACAAATCTGGAGGGGCTCTTGTCCTTTGTAGCCACCTACAGTGACTAAAATAGTTTCTGCCGAACCAATTTTGCCATATTTGAGAACTCCCACGCTTTAAAATCTTCATGGATGGCAATGTTCTTCCTCTTAATGTGACCCACCAAAGAAAATGTTCACCGTCCCCGTTTCCTTTGCTGGATGCACGTACATATACAAGAAATTAAAAAAAAAACGATAAATAAATAAAAAAAATAAAAAATAAAAACTCAGAGAGACCCATGCTTGCTTGTCTTCGTTGCAAATTACAATTAGACAAAAAAAGCGTGGGAGGGTCTATTTTTCAGACGCAGCATAAGAACCAATGTTTCACCATGTTTCAGCACGTTCTCATGGACAAAAATAATTTTACATCGTTGTGACACATTTTAATGAAGAGTTGTTACGCACGACCTAGGTTTAGTCATACATGTTAATTAAGTTCAGCCCACTAGGCACTAGCTGTAGTCTCCAACCAAGACGTTTCTATGTATCTACCCCAGCTAGAACCTGCATCATAGCTCTAATCACCAATTAATATAACAACATATCACGCTCTCAAACCATTCGATTGCCGTTTCTGACGTAGGCATGAACTTCGTGTCCCCTCAATGCCTGACTCTGATTGTTGATTTTTCATGTGGCTTTCCTAACAGTTGGCGAATGCTTAACGCAAGAGAGTCATCAAACATGTCACCTCTCTAACGCAGAAACGTGTCACCTCTCCAGGTAGAAACGTGAAAGTTAGAAGATAATGCATGAATCATTATCTCCTAGATTTTAGGGTAATGTGTGAAAGAGCTAAATCTCAAACAGTTATAAATTTGAATTCATTGATGTCCATGATTGCTACTAATGAATGAAATTTTAATTTCTTTTAACAAAAATTTAGATTAGGATAAGTTATAACTTCATGAAATACCATAATTAATGCTACTAATGACAGAGTCTTTTAATCTTTTTGGTAACAAAAAACTTAAATTAAGATAAGTTACAACTCCATACAATATCAAAATCATGATTTATTTGAAGAATTTTAATAGGATTACAGGTCATTTATCTTATCATTAGTTCTGTAAATCTATATGAAAGGATATAAAACACGAGAAATCAAAATTGATCACAAGTCCTAGTTAATAGAAGCAAAAGAACTTAACTAGTTGTATTACCCTTTCGAAGCAAGTAATGAATGAAACTTATCTTTTTTGGCTGTAAAAAAGTTGCACTTTTATTGACTTTCATTATTGTTTTGTTTGCGATTTTTCATTAAATTTCTAGCCATTTACTTATAAAATTTCTAGGAGTAGTGTAACTTAGCAACCTCATTACTACAACGAAGCTCTTTTTAGCGAACTAGAAACTCATTTTAGGGAACAAAGTCCTTTCCTTATAAGTTAATTGCCTAAAGGAATCATTCATTGGTAGTTATTATCGTTCTCACATTGATCCTAGCAAAGTCCCCACCAAACATAAAATTGACATGCTAGCTGAGATTCTAGTTGCTTCTAAGTCAAGGTATTCATTACTTCCTGTTGGAGAATAATTCAAATTTCAAAATAGATGTAGTGCATGGAGATTCAAGAGAAATTATTATTATAGAAATTTGAAATGATTAGGCTATTATTTAGATTTATAGATTTTATCATTTTATTTTAATTTCTTTTAGGAATTTTTCTTTTTAAAATTGGGATGATTATAATAGTTAAATATTATATTACAGTTTAGCTCTATATGAAGAGCCAAGAAATAAAACCCTAGCATGTGTTCTATTTAAGATCTTAGACATCTGTAATTCTATTGTGTGAAG